AACGCCAACGCCAAAGCCAACGCCAAAGTTCTATGTGGACCGGCCTTAAGCGTCTTGGCTCCCACGTCACTGTTGACAGCTACAAGTTTGAAAAAGTAGGCGATCGTTTATTTCGGAACCAGCATTAACACCAATAATAATGTGCCTTGAAATCCAAAGGAGAATCACTCTTGCCAACAAGTGCTACTTTGGACTGAATTGGCAATTGGGAAGTAAAGTCCTCTCTCGTCGTACACAAATCACACTTTATAAGTTACTCATCACGCCCGTGCTGGTGTATGACACGTGTGCATGGAAAATGTAGCGAACAGTTTCTACCCTTTTTGAGAAAACATCTAATGAAGCGGCTCTTGGAGTTTTCGAGAGAAATTCTTCGAAAGATTTATGGGCCCATACGCGTTGGCGATGGCGAATACCGCAGACGATTAAAACTCAGCGGCTCCGCTGGCTAGGTCAAGTAGTTCGAATGGACAGAAACGTTCCAGCTCTGAAAGTATTCAACGCGGGCGCGGAAAGACAATCAGTTGGCGTGCTGTTTTGGATTCGGTCAAATAAAGTAGTTTGTTTTCAAACAAATTTATGTTCTATTACAACTTTCAAGTGCTGTCAAGTTTCACAATTACAATACAGAAACCTGGGAGTCTGGTTATATATCGTGTGGAAGCAGCTGTGGTGTAAGGTTCTTGGAATTTTCGAGCGGAAGAAAATTTGGATTTGGATCGGTGCAAGCGTTGCTTTTTTCATTAAAATTTTTTCTTTAGTTTTTTTTTAAAGTCATTTAATTAGTATTTTAATTAGTTTTTTTTTTGTATTTTGGAGCTGTAAAAAGGAAGGCAAGTCAGAAGTTGGAAGGAGCTGTTTTGCTGTTTGCAGGTGAGTCCTGGCAGTGTGTGATTTTTGGGTTTTTTTTTTTTTTTATTTAAATGGACGCTGCGGCGTCGATAGAGGAGGATATGATGCAGGTTTCTGCGCATAATTCGTCAGCAAGGAAGTATATGAGAGCTAGGAAAAAAAACAGGAATGAGAAAGGCTCTGGTAAAAGGCGCAAGGATGCAAAGACGGATGTTAGTAATGGGGATAGTTTTTCTGAGGAGGATTTAAGTGAGGTTAGGGATATACCAAAGATTGCTTTGCAGGGCATGCTTGTACCCAGGGGTACTTTTAATAAGACGTTGTTATTACAAAATGGTGTTTTTGGGGATGTTCAGGTTGGAAAAAGTGGTGTTGCAGGGGTTACTTGTGATAAAGAGGTTATGTTCAGTGGTGTGTATAATGCTCAAAATGGCGGTGTTGTACAGGGTGTTGGAGAGTGTAATGCTGTGCTCAATGAGAGAGATGGTGATATGGTTGTGCCTTGTGTTTCATCTGATGAGGGTTTGATTCAAAATGGTGGTCAAAGGCCTGCTCAGGTTGGAAATGTTTGTGTTGATAGTGTTTCTGGAGATAATGGGGTTATGTTGAATGATATACATAATTTTCAAAATGGTATTGTGCTTAATGGAAGTGAGAAGAATATTGTGTCCTTGAATTTTAACAGTGGTGGTCAGTTAAATGCGGATTCTTTTGAAGAAGATGTTTGTGCTCAGAATACTAACAGTGGTAGTAACATTAGTAAGAATGGCTTTAGTGTTGAGGGTGTGTATAAGAGTGCTGTATATTCTGATTTTTATAGGGGTGAATTTTGTGTTCTTGCTGATACTTCGAAGAGTCCTTTCTTTGATAATAAATTTATGAAAAATGGTTTGTTTTTGTTTGCAAAAATACGCAAGTATAATATTAAAGGTATGAAGAATATAAAGGCGATTGGTAAGTCTTTGTATAAGATTTTTTTCGAAAGTGCTTGTACTGCTAATGATTGTGTTGTTAATGAGGTTTTGAAGGAAAAAAGGTATACGAGTATTTATACCACGTAGTTTTGTTGAAACTTATGGTGTTTTGAACAGGTTCCACTTGATTTTTCGGATAGGGAGATTTTTGAGAATTTGAAGTCTGTTGTACCTTTTTCGTCTGTTAAAAGAATTAATAGGCGAGATATAGATAATCGTGATAAGTATATTCCGACTCTGGCTGTCAAGATTGGTTTCGTAGGTAGTGTTCTACCTGAATCTGTTAAAGTATTCTGTGTAGATTTTAAAGTGAGTCATTATTTTCCTAGACCAAAACAATGTTTCAATTGTGGATGTTTGGGTCATACAAGAATGTCTTGTAGGAGGCAGAATCGTTGTATTCTTTGTGGAAAGATTGAAAAGTGTGTTGGAAAATGCTCTGATAATGTAGTTAAGTGTATTCTTTGTGGTAATAGTGATCATGTGTCTTTAAATAAGAATAAATGTGATGTATGGAGGAAGGAAAAGGAAGTTATTGAGATTATGACTGTCAAGAAGATTTCTAGGAGAGAAGTCTTTGAGAGTTATAATGATATATTACATAGTAATAATCGTTTTTCTTTGTTGGATAATTATGAGAGTTCTTTTCCGGTGCTTGGTAGTAGTTTGAATAAGGTGCAGGATAATAATGATATTGTTAATAGAAGGTTGACGAGGAGGAGGTATAATGAAGTTGTTAAGGATCAGAGTTTTCAGCCCATTGTTGATCAGCAGAAGCAGATTCGGAGAAGTAAAGAGACAATAAGTCCTTGTTTTAATAGTGAAAGATGGAGTAAGGTTTCTGAAATTGAAAGGCTTTTGGCGCTTTTGGTTGAAAAATTTGATATTAACTCTGAGGAACCTTTGGTGAAGTTGATGAGTAATTTATGTAAGACTAGTGTTAGTGATAGGCTTGTGGCTTCTTCTATTAATATTGATGGACAAGATTCGAATTCTGCAGCTTAATTGTCAAAGTTTAAAGGCTAATAAGGATTTTTTAGATTTCTTTATTGAACAAAATAATGTTGATATTGTTGCTCTTCAGGAAATTTTTTCTCATGATGAGCAAAAGTCTGAGCATAAGTTGATAAATTTTAATTTACTAAAGAAGATGAGAAGAGATGGTTATGGTGGTGTTGCGGTAGGTTTCAGGAAAAATATAAGATTTGAGAGAGTGAGGTATAATTCAATACATGACATTGTCATTGCTAAAACTATTAATATGAAGGATAATTTTGTTGTGTGTTCTGTATATTTTGCTCCTAGTGTTAGTACTAGAGTTTTTGAATATGAAGTAAATCGGCTTTTTTCTTTTCTGGTTAAATTTAATAATCTACTTTTAGTCGGGGATTTTAATGCTAAGAATAGAATGTGGGGTGATAGGAACAATAGTCCTAAAGGGAAAGTTGTTTTTAATATATGTAATAGATCAGGACTGAGATGTCTTAATGATGGTTCTAAGACTTTTTCTGTGAATAGGAATGGGTGTGTTATTGAGTCGGTTTTAGACTTATCTTTTACTAATTCGGCTTTTGATGTTAGTTGGAATTGTAATTATGGATATGTTGGTGGTAGCCATCATCATCCTTTATTAATTGATATTAAAGGAATTCAAAGATTACCTCAGCTTTTTGTTTCTAAGATTAAGTTAAAGAAAGCTCTTACGACCCTTGATTGTGCTGGTGATTCTGATGATGTTGTGAGCTTAATCAGGAAAGAGATTAAAAATGCTACGATTGATTTAAACTGTACTAAGTTTTCTCCAAAGGCTTGGTGGTGTGATAGTTTGAGTAGATTGTACAGAATGCTTTTGGCTAGTCGTAAGAAAGCCAGGCTGACTGGTAGAGTGGAGGATATGGAACAGGCTTGTTTATTGAGAGAAGAATGTGAAAAGAAGAAGAGAAAAGCTGTGAAAAAAGCAAAAAGTGAGAATTATAAAATGAAAATAAGTGAACTTAATAGTAATGCTAATTCTAGAGATGCCTGGAAGTTTGTTAATAATGTGAAGGGATGTAAACATAAAAGATTAGAATGGGTTAGTGAGGATAATACGAAATATTTAGAGTGGCTTAGGGATCAGGTTAGTAATCAGTATGTTGGTTGTACTGGTTTAGATTTTAATGATAATAGTTCATATAGTGATGGTGATAGTTATTTGAATTTTTCTTTGGATGATTTGTCTTTGGTTTTGAGTAAAAAGAAGAGTACGGCAGGAGGTTTTGACAGGATTACTTTTGAAATGCTAAGGCAATTATCAAATGATTGTAAAGAAAAGTTGCGAGCTGATCTTGTTTTTCATTTTAATAATAATATTGTTAAGGATGAATAGAGGGTTATTAAGATAGTGCCGATTCCTAAGGCAAATCGGAATTTGAGTGGCATTAAAAATTATAGGCCAATTTCCCTATTATCGGTTATTGTTAAAACTTTAAATATGATGGTCAAGGATAGACTTGTAGAATGGTCTAATATTAATGGCATTATTCCTTTGCGTAGCTTTGCATATAAGAAGGGGAAGTCGGCCACTATGTGTATTAATGAGTTTTTATTTTATGTGAGTAAGTTGAAATCGGAAAGGCAAAAGATTTTTATTTGTGTTTTGGATCTAAAGGATGCATATAATTGTGTTGATTTAGTCACTCTTAAGAGAATTTTAGGTGATAAGGGGGCTGATGTTAAAATTATTAATTGGGTTTATAATTTTTTCTCTAAGAGGGGAGTTGTTTGTCACCCTTATTGTTTAATATTTATACTGCTCTTTTACATCAACTTAACTCTGGTAATGTCATGTTGTTTCAGTTTGCAGATGATTTTGTGATTGTTTGTAGTGATAGCAATGATGTTGCTGCTTTGAATTTGCTTAGTAATAGTATTAACAGTTTTCAGCAGTTATGTGGTTCTTTAAAACTGTCAGTTAATTATAGTAAGACACAGTTTATGAATATTGGTACAAACAGGAGGAAACCTTTTGTCTTAAGAGTGGGTTCGCAGGATATAGAGCAAGTTTTTAGTTTAAAATGGTTGGGTAGAGTTATATGTTTTAATGCTACGATTAATGATCATATAGGTATGATTAAAAAGGATATTATTCCAAATTGGAATCTTTTGTCTGATTACGACTATCAAGTCAGGTTTAGAGCCTCGAGTGGCTTTAAATTTTTATAAAGCTTTTGTACGGTCCAAAGTTGAATATTCGAATGTTACTTTTGCCAACGCTCCATTAGGAACTAATAAGAAGATACAGGCTATAGTAAATGATATGTTAAGGAGGTGTCTTGGGGTTCCACCTAGTACCCCGATACACACCAGGTTTGCGCTTGCAGGTGAATTACCTCCGTTGAAGAGGGCTGAGTGGCTTACTGCTAAGGAGCTAAGTAGACAATGGATGGTTAATAGTGAATTAAGAGAAGATTTATGTAATGGTTTAGTTAAGGGGTCTAGTTATGGACATGTTTTTTCCAAATTTAAAGTTATTTTTGAGAGAATTAATTTTAGTACGCGGTTTGAAAGGCATTTAGGTCTGGTTTTGAATAGGTCTAAATTTGATGTTTCTAAAAAAAATGTTTCGGTTGAAAAAATTCGGGCTTTATACATGGAGGAAAGATATAGATTGCAAGATGAGGGATATTATCTACTAGCAACTGATGCTTCAGTAGTGGATGATGCGGTTGGTGTAGCGGTTCATGATGTTTGTGAAATGACTTCTTATCTTTTTAGATTTTCAGAAAAATTTTCTTCTACATTTGGTGAGTTGGTTGGATATTTGAAAAATTGAATGTTGAAAAGGGTGCTATTTTTACTGATAGTATGGCTGCTATTGATGCTCTTGATAGTGATACAACTGATTCGTATTTAGTTGCTGAAGTGCATAATGATATTTTCAGGCATTGTGGAAGAATACAAGTGAGATATCTTAGGGTTGACAGATAGTT